CGAAAAAGCAATGAGGTCACTCCGTGATAGGGCAACAGGAAGAGTAATTTCTTTTGATCGTGGTTCACTCACATCCCCACAAATTAATGCATGGGATTGTATTCAAAAATACTGCTCCGAGTGGTATGGGTTTGATGTCCGAAAGTTTGATGGAAATTCACAGAGTGAAGATCTACTTCTCATTAATGAGACATGTAAATTTCCAGAATGCTCTCCTTGTCAGAGAATATTAGTAATCCATGCCGCAATGAGCTACCCAACCATCAATAGGCCAGATGATCAGCATTTTGTTGCCAATATTTCTCAGCCAATAGGACCCTATAGACTTGCCCGATCAATTCTTGCTCTGTTGGATCAAACTATCTGCGAATCACGCAACAAGCACGCTACTACACAAACTCCTCTTGGATCACCGGAGGAACGACACCGCAATGGAATAGAGGAATATAGCTTCTTACCAGTGCAAGAGCCAGCGCCCAACACGACAAGCGAAATGGCACTTACTTCAGCAAATCAAAAAGTTCGCGAGGAATTTGCCGAATCTCTTCAAAACTTAGAACAGCTTCAACTCCAAGCACCTCTGGCTACTCCTCTGGAAACAATACCCATACCTCGAATTCTCGAACGCAAATCTTCAAGATATCCTTCACCTCCGCCTCCGCCTCCCCAGATTGCCCAAGTCGCCCAAGTCGCCCAAGTCGCCCCAGAAAAAACACCCCTGCATATTCTCGCCGTCGATGATAACGCACTTAATCTACAATTGATACATCGTTATCTTCAAAAACGCAAAACAGACACAATAGTGAGTGCAGGTGATGGTTTGGAGGCAGTAGCAGCCGTAAAGGCGTCAAAGAATGGATTCGATGTAATTTTTATGGATATCTCGATGCCAAAAATGGATGGATTCGAAGCCACTCGACTTATCAGGAATTGGGAGAGTGAATTATGTGTAGGGTTGGATAGCCTGATCGCTTGGGGGCACAGTAGAGAGAAAGAGAAGGAAATGGAGATTGAGGAAAAGGCGTACGAGGAACTACCAAGGGGCAAGGCTTACGTAGTTGCTATGACTGGTTTGGGGAGTCAAAAAGCAAGGGACGAGGCAGACAGAAGCGGGTTTGATGATTTCATGACTAAACCGGTTAAATTACCGAAAGTAGGTGAGTTGTTAAAGAGATTGAGTTGTGAGAAAGCTGCTAGGCTGGAAGCTAGTAAGCGTATCACAGATTGGAACTTTTGAATGGAAATCGATGGGCGGTTGGACAGGCTCACTCAATCGGCTGGATGAGAGGGAAAGAGATGGGGTACGGATTTGATATGAAGTACATGAAATAAAATATACGAATAATTGGGTTAGTTTTGGAGGGAATTGGAATGAATTGTACAATAATCGATGATACCTAATAGCGAAAAGAGACGAGAATATTAAAAGCTTTTATACGGTTCGTTCATTAATTTAATGTTATATTCATACATTTGGCGATGTCGCTAAATGGTTAGGGGAGCATATATAACCAAGACTTTCTTATGGTATGTACTCATTGAGACAGCGTAATGTCTCCAGATTGATGTTATGGAGAATCTCAAACTATCCACTCTTCCTATGTATGTACATGTCCAAATATCGCAGAATTTCCTTGTTGGGGGTGTATAAATACTTTTGTCAATCTTATCTCCAATTATGATCCCTTCAATCACAAGTTTCTCAGTCGCCTATTGCCTCACACACATCATTCTAGAGGGGGTGCCATGTCGATAACGGATTCTTTGGTCCAAAATAGGTTGTGAAACCGTCTGAAATGCCAAAGTAAAACTCTGCAATTAACAATGCTACATGGTGCTTTTTCACTCCCAGATAAAGAAGAAGTCCAAGGATTAATTTTCGATACTGCCTTCCTTCAAACACCATCCAATAAACCCATCACGTGTATGCCAAGCATCTGCCCCACCACTTATCAAACCCCGCCATGCCTCAAGCTTTGGTGCTCTCCCGCTGTTGACAAAGTAAATTCTGTATAAAAGTCGAGGCTCGGATCTTTCTTATTTTTCGGATCGCAGATTAACAATACTTGAAAATGGAATTTGATACTAAGACTCGTGAGTTCATTTTCTATCATGGGTGATTGAGAGGAGAGGGAGTAGGAGGGGAAGGAGAGGGCCTATGAAAGAGGGAGGTAGAAAGACTAATGGTTAGTGAGCAATTAGCTCTCTATTCTACTCAGGATAAAACATCTTTCGCGTATATTTCGGCGAGAGATCGTTGGCCTGTTATTCTTGTAAGTGACATGGGTTTTTCCTTGGGAATGGTCTACTTCATGGATGATGTTGGGAATCGATGTGGAAAGCCCCGAACCTCTGCTTGTTGCGCGAGGCTTTTGTATTCGTCTAGTCTGCCTCCACGACAGTGGCCTCCGGAGGGCTAGCGGAGCGTCATTCACTTATAATAAGACTTTTGCTAATATTGACACTGATAGACTGGAGCAATTGATGATGTTCACAGAGCAGTATCCGAATCGACGGGCAGCAAACACGAGGAAGGAAAACGCATAGTCGAGACTCTTGCAAAGCTCAAATATGAGCTTCAGCACGACAGGAAGTTAACGTATGGAAGTTTGTCTTCGTAGGAAATGAGACGCTAATCTGGGATGTAGTCCTCTTCTTGATGATGGACAACCGGATATTGAGGGTTATAATAAGGAATTGGAAAAATTGGGTTATCCGTCATGGTTCAATATTCCATGGTTATTTGCAGAATGTTATCTCTACAGGTACGGATTTGCTTTCTCGCCTGCATTATTTCGAATTATAACTAATAACTAGTTTGCAGACGCATAGCAACTTCTTTCTCCTTATCTAAAGAATGGAAATCCCACGATGTATTTGCGCGCCAAAAGATGTCGACTTTCCGTTCTTCCCGACCTGCTGTTCTCGAGCTCGCAAGTCGCTACCACGAACTCATAAGCCAAATGTCCAATGACAAAACCCAAGATGAGGAGGCGGAAAAAATCCTTTTCATGGAAATGTGCGAGATTTGCTTATGGGGAAATGCAACCGATCTTTCTCTTCTCACATCTCTTACCTATGAAGATATTCAAAAATTACAAGGCTCCGAAGCACGAAAGAATTCAGAGAAGAATATTCTTATCAATGATTTGGGCAAAGCATATGATGTTCTGAAGGCTGCCAAAAAAGAAGGAAGAAATCGTCAAGTCGATATTGTTCTCGATAATGCCGGTTTTGAACTTTATGTCGATCTAATTCTTGCTGGATTCCTTCTCAGTGCAGGTCTTGCTACAAATATCGTATTACATTCTAAAGCCATCCCATGGTTCGTATCAGATGTTGTACCCAAGGATTTCTCCGATTTATTAAACGCATTGAATAATGCTCAATCTTTCTATTCCACCCCTTCCGAAGACGAGCAAAGAGATGGAAAAACGCCAGAACCACTTTCCAAAAAGGAAGAAGAGGAATTGGATTTCTTGTTCAAGACTTGGAGTGAATTTCACGCAGAAGGTCAATTAACATTAAGAGCTAATAGGTTCTGGACTGAAGGAGGTAGTTATTGGAGATTACCAGGCACGGCACCTAGATTATATGAAGATCTTAAGGAGAGTGATTTAGTGATTTTCAAAGGAGATTTGAATTATAGAAAGTTGACAGGAGATGCTACTTGGGATCCTACAACCCCATTCACAAAGGCGATTGGACCATTGGGTCCAGGGTCCGGTGTTAATGTATTGGCATTGAGAACTTGCAAGGCGGATGTGGTGGTTGGCTTGGAACCGGGACTAGATGAAAAGTTGAGGGCGATGGAAGGAGGGGGTGGAGATTCGGGACAGAGGAAGTGGGGATGGAGTGGAAAGTGGGCGGTGGTTAGCTTTTCGGGTGGGAAATGATGGTTTGGAGGAAGTGGAAGGTGAAAGATTATTAGATAAGGGGGAGATAGATTATTCGTACTTGGAGAGTTTCGAGAGAGTATAGATAGGTCAAGAGAAAGAGAGATGGGTTTATGAGATATCGTTGCTGAATGGTAGAGTTTTCTCTAGGGATAGACATCTCTAGGAATGAGAGATATAGATTCGATTATGGAAATATCTTGTTTCTCAACGTTTTCAAGGTTTTATTTACAGCGTATCTAAGTATAGGTTGTGAACATTGTGAAACGTGAAAATGACTTGTTGTTTTGGAATACATTGAGTTTCAAATACCCAGGCAAATACGCCCGCAACCCTCTACTCAAAATATACTTGCTCCATTTCTTCTATCTTCTCGTGTTGTGTCATTTCGATACATTATCTACAGAGAGCGTTAGGTATACTGTAGTATAAATCACTAAAGAATAGAAATCCATTCAAAGACTCTGCGGAAAAAAAGCGTTTCTTCGAGATTTCAAAAGTAGTAGTAATAATATTATTATAATGTAATAAATAAGTATAAAAGTATAAAAGTATAAAAAGGGTCAACGCAAAAGAATTTTTGTGTGACTCTCCCCGATCCTATCCTATCCTATCCTGCCCTGTTTCGCCCCGGTTCATTCCTCGACTCTCCGTTTCCGTTCCCTGGGTATAGTTGTGAGATTCTGGGAGTACCTAAGTCGTGTTGTGTTTTGTTCTGCTGTGTTTTGTGGTGTGGTGTTGTTTGGGGGGTGCTCGTGCGGGGAGGCGGGTAAGTGGCGAGGGGAGGTAGGTACTCTGTGAGTTTGGAGTTGAGAGTTGGGACTGGAAGAGAGATCTTGTACCGGTGGGGTCAGATGAGTGGATGGATGGAGAGTAGCCTGTCCTATCCTACCCGGTGACTGTGTCTGATGTGATGAACGGGTATACGAGTTCCGTTGATTATTAATTTATCTGTGTGACGCCTCCTCTTGACATCGAGGTTTTGGCCGGCGTGGCCTTGTTGTTGTTCTTGGGTATCCATTCTCTTTTCCTCCCATCTTGTAGTTTCGGATCAATATCCATATCCATATCCGTATTCACATTCAATTTCGTATCCATCCTCCCTCATATTAACCATCTAAAGACCGCAATCCAGAGTACCAGCAAACCACTCAAACCCATTCCACCCAACCCATCCATTCGTGATCCTGCGCCTCCCGTCACCACCGCCGCAGCAGGCAAAGTCGCATTCACAAATCCCGGTCCGCATTGCACATTTACCATTCCCGCGGCTTGGGTATACGTACCCGCAATCGCACTCGATCTGACCGCGCCCGCAGATTCGAAAACCGCCATTGTGTTTTTCAGACACTGGTTGCAGGTGGGTTGGGAGCCGCCGGGGAGACTCGTGTTCAGAGGGAGATAGTATACGTAGCTATCTGTTGGGGAGGACGAATTTGTGACGGCTTGCGCGTAGCAGTATGCGCCGTTGGAGGGATCTTTGAGACAGGATGCGGTGTAGAGGGTGGAGTAGGCGAGGAGACCTAGACGAGCTTGTGTGACGAGAGGGTTGGCGGCGAGGAGATCGACCGAGCAGGCGGTGGTGGAGGTGATGTTGGAGGCGATGGAGGACATTAGGGTTGAGCATGATTGAGCGTTGGCGGAGCAGGAGGCGTCGAGGGTTTGGGTGATGCGGACGAGAGATTTGGAGGCTTGGAAGAAGGAGTTGGAGTTCTGTGGGAGAGGGATTAGTAGATGTATCAATTGGACTTATTGGAGCTCTGTGAATTACTTGAGGGGGAGTCAGATGTAAGAATCGAACAATGCCATTATTTGAGCTTGCATACAATGACCATTCTTCAATTCTTCAATTCCTCAATCCCCCCCCTTTATCTCAACCCTCTTCCGAAAATAAAAACCACATACCTGCAATAACAATGAAAAGGGCAAACAAGCTTTAAAAGTCTCATTTGCCAAAAAGTCCATCATAAAACTCGAACATGTTGAAGTAATATTACTCGTAAACCCACTATCGAACGGCGTGGGTAATTTGGCCGTTGTTCCCGTAGCAGCAGACACCAGTCCGCTACTCGTTTGCGATTCCGCCAGTGTTGACGACGATGAAGAGGAATCGGTTGCGGTACTTGTACTTCTGGGAGGTGTGATTGTTGCTGTGGAAGTTATCGTCGCTACGTTTCTCTTTTTCTTCAGATGGGAATCGAGGTCGGCGTCGAGATCTAGATTTGACAATTGAGGTTGAAGGGGAATATTGATTGCTTTTTCTCCTTCGCCTTGTAGTTCTCCTTCGTCACTAGAGCTGCTCGAGGTAATTTCCCACGTCTTAAGTTCCGGAAGCGAATCGCGTGGGAGCGAGGGATGTCGTTGATCAACCAAAATAGTGCCAGATCTAGCTAGACGTGCGAGTGTGGATGCAAATAGTTGGGGAATCTCTTCTCGAACTTCAACCATTCGTTCTTCAATATAAAATTCGGCCGAACATGTGGTGATGAGGAAGGAGGAAAAGATCGTCAATAGTATTATATAATTAGTTGAAGAAAAGAAAGTATGAAGATTACGAGGTTTGTAAGTTTTGTAGATTTTGGAAGTTTTGGAAGTTTTGGAAAAAGAAGGAGGCGACGATGCCAATGATGACGACGATGTGGTGAGAGAAGCTTGATTGCTTGATGAAACCCTTTGGGTGACGGTAGGGGTGCGGAAAGGGAGCGTTGGTGCCGCGACCGTTGGATAGTGCGACATGAATTGTTGCGAAGAAAAAGAAGAAGGCGAATTAGATGGCGACGTTGATATCGACAACTCAAACATCTTTTCCAGATCTATATTCATATTCATTTCCAATTCCAAGTCCAAGTCCAAGTCCCTTCCCAGATCCAGATCCATATCCATTTCCATTTCCATGTTGTTCAACGATGATAGGGCAACTATATACAATACGGTATATCTTTATAATCGTGGTTCCAGCATCCCTTTTCAAACCTCAGATCGACAACCAATATAGTCGTCGGTGGAAGAAGAGGTAACAATTATCGATATCGAACGTTCGTTCAAGAAGGTCGGTTTGGATTGTATGGTATCAATTGTTATGAAACGAGAGAACAATGAATGATTCTTCTTCCTTCAATCCTTCCCGTCCCGATTGTTTCTTTCCGAGCCGGATCGATTGTGATGAAGAATGATGGTTTGATGTAGTACCTAGGTGTGTATGTATTTTCGTCTGATGTTTATTCGATTGATTGATTGATTGATTGATTGATTTCCTTGCTTCAATTTTCTCTCTTTTCTTTTCTTCCGTCGTCGCTCCGTCGTCGCTATATCTCGAAGTTGATTTAGATCCAAAAAAAAAAAGGAATTCTCGTAAAAAAGGTGAAGACGTCAATGTGCAATGCAGATAAAATCTACAACCAACGCAAAAAGTAATGATGAAAAAGAATGACAGTAGTTGGAAAGGAAGGGAAACAAATCCTCTTTCGAAACTCAAAATCTCTTATATATCAATTGTGAAGTCGTTGATAATTCTTCCACCACAGAAGGAGAAAGATGGTATATGTATGCGGTGGGTGCTCGAATGATATTTGATCTCTTCTTTCAATCCTTCACTTCCACATCCAGATCAATGATTATCCACTTTCCAACTCTCCACCCTTGGATTTTCTCTTCTAGAGGCGTCTGTCGGGCGCAGTCCACGTAGAGAGAGAGGTACTAGGTAGTCCAAGCAGAGAGATTGATTTGATATCTTTTGGATATAGGCAATACCTTTCGATTTTCCAGTCCGCATTCAACCAGGCCAACCACAATGCAAGCAAGGTTTCTAGTTTCGTTTCGTGTGAATCGTGGGAGAGATGATAGATGGATGAACTTGACTAGGAGGAAGAACTACACAAGACTGCGAATGGTGTGATATGATCACCAAGCAAAGTAGACTCGAAGGAATATCAATTGGATTGTAGATAGATTGGTTCATGGAGAAAGATTTACGTTGGAGTGGTGGATCCAATATCCGTTATTATGCCTCGATTCATCCAAGTACAAAGTATCACTATCACCATCTATGCAGAATCCCCTCCATCTCCTCCTCCATTGAGAGAAGAGAATCATGGGGGGGAGAAAGAGAGTTAATATTCCGAACGTGCTATAGCTAGGTACGAGGGAGTGACCACCTAGGACACACCCAGATGCTTATCCGTTCTGTATGGCAGCATCCATCCCATGTGGCATTCCACCAGTCAGAATTACATGCGAATTCGAGCAGATGCTAAGATGATCCCTTTGGAAAAGCTGCAAGCAATCGTAAGCCATCAACTGCGCCGTATGGGGTGGGAGACTACTTGGAGTAACCATATGAGCGAGACGAGCAAGCCTAATATTGAATTTTGGGGTGAAGCAGATAACAGTTGGAATGGTCGAGCTGGAGAGATTATTGGACAATTACACGATGGCTTTTTGCACCTTTGTGAACTATTCTTAGTATATATATGTATGTACCAGTAAATTCACATGTATCATATGTATCATCAACAGCATCAACAGCATCAACAGCATCAACATCATCAACATCATCAACATCATCAATCATCCAAACATTCCCCTCAAAGCCTCCCTCCTTCATTTTCTCGCCAACCAAAAGGTAGTCTCGACCAGCACCCCAAATTTCCCTTTTCCTCTCCCGTCTCCACCAATGCAGCCCAGACCAAACCCTCCCAATTCTAGATCTCACTCCCGAAGCCCCTCGCGAAACCCCTGCATAAGTCGCATCTGAGCCCACACGCAAGTCCCCAACCTAGTACTATGCCCGACTCGCACGTCCCATGCCCACCAGGATATTCTCGGAAAAGTTGCAGAGGCCACGCCATCGCGCGCTCTTTTCCCACGATACGACCGAAATGAGAGTGTACGTTTGTGGTTTGGGAAGCTCAATCCATTCAGTATGGGTATCGGATGTTTTGGAACTGGGGATCGTGGAAAACTGCCAATGCAAGCACGTTTCTGGAGATGACTGTGGGAAGCTACTCCGTAAGGTTAAGCTACATATGCAGATCAGGAAATGTTGGAAGGAAATAGTGAAGAGTGCTAATCAGAATAAGATCTGTCGATACGGTACTACCGGTACTGTACAGAATACGATATATGCAATCAAAAATATCATGCATGGGATTATGTCATGTGAGGAACGGTTTGTTCTGCAAATAGCACTGAACGGTCCGTGAGATGCTGATGCTGATGCCGATGCTGAGAGCCTGAGTTGCAGATAAGATGCCATGATAGGTATTTTGGTCAACTTGTGAAAAATCAACTTATCTACCTAGTAGTTCTAGAACCTTTCCTACGAAGTACCTCCGAGTAAATATCATACATTTTTCACAAGTAAACAAGTAAAATATAAAGCCAACCATTCGGCTCATCTATCGAACCCGAATTTCCTCAACAGTTAACCCAGAAAACGCCCACGCGGTACGAGAGGTACGAAAGGCGTACTCCAGACCTCCGAGGCGTTGGGGGCGTGGTGGTAGCGGTAAGCAAACAAGCACAGAATCGCACTGTGTACATGAATTCCCATGTATTCTCATGTATTCCCCTTTTATTTACAGGACTGAGAAGGGTACGAGCCTACGCATGTAAGTAAGCCTCTCTGCAGCACAGCATTGAATCATTAATGAGAGGCTTTGGGGTTCTCTGCATTGCATTGCATTGCATTGCATACAGTAAACGAATAAGCAAAGAAGCAAATACGCAAGCAAGCAAGCCTCTCGTATGTAGGTACCGGTACACGAGTGAGATCCTGATATCCAGATATCCAGACATACAATGGCCAGCGTCGATCGATCAATATACAATACAACAAACCAAATCAACAAACTCATTCCCCCATCCAACAAAATCAATAATACAATCCAGCCTTGTCAAAAAAATCAAATCTCGCTATCTTGTATACCTTTTCCCGTCGATCCATTCATTCAACCTATCCTCTTTCCACCGTTTAGAACACAGCTAATGCAAGTGTCCGGAAGATTTCACTCATCCTTACCTTGCTTCTTCTATTACACGTTGTACGAGCTGGTGTCTATCATAAGCTATTGGCGCCACCAATATTTTCGTGCAGCAATTGAATCTATCTGGTCTGGACTTCCTGGATAGAAAATTGGTGGAGCAGATACCAATAAATGGCAGATGTTGCGATGAGAGCGAAAACTTGAAAGTACTTCACACAGTTTAAATGAATACTTCGTACCTACCTCGTAGCTCGTAGTGGGAAGTAAAAAGTTTATAGAGAGACTCTCGAGAGGATTCCTCATACTGCACCAGACGGCACATTCCAATCCTCAAGGTTGACCCAATAACCCCATCATAAACTTATTCCTTCATCACTCAATCAATCAATCAATCAATCAAGATTCGTACAACACGTAGATAAGAAACCCCGATACACAATCAAATAGCATCTCGTTCACGAATGTGAGATCTAGCGATTTCTCAGGTACAGTCGTGATGGGCTGCTATGGTGTACACTTCTAGAATATAAACGAATTATTGATTCTGGAGGTAAGGCTGTACGGTATTGTATGTAACCGTGATGAGATACGAGGTTACCTTGTTATCTGGAGCTGGGGATGATTTGGTACGAAGATGAAGATGAAGATGATGATGGGTGTAGGTGAATGAGGGAAAACATGATGTGTATACTTCGGTATGGAAATGAAGGGGTTTGAAGAATGGAGTAGATACTTATGTCACAGTATATATATGTACGATGTATGTATAGTTATATGGTCTCTCTTCATTGTTATTGTTACCGTTACAACTCACCCGAAAGAATAGTCTTCGGGTTAGGGTTAGGAATTATCTGAGACAGGCACATAGGATTAGGGTTAGGAGATATGCAACAAAATATGATTATTATAGATCTATGCACGTGAGAGATGAGGGACTGGTCCAATGAGGTGGTTGTGCGGACACAGGGGGGATGAGAATCAGGTGAGAGCGATTAGAATGTGACAGTTGAGGAGGTAGTATGTGTAATTATGTGTATCGATAACTTGGCAGGAAACAGATAGATAGAACTTAGATATTTCAGGGTCACGATTCACTGATAGTATTGAGGTAAGAACACTTATTTATCACGTTTCTTGTCTTGCCGAAAGTTTAAGCGATGTTCCGCCGACAGATAGACTGAGGGCTTGAGGGGGGTAGCGAGATCTTTTTAGATATCCAACATTAACATAATCAAGTTCAACTTGAGAACTTCACTTTATTCGTTCGGAAGATGAATCTTGTTTTGGGGTTGCAAAGTAGAAAGAATACAGTACTATACAACTTATACAATCCATTCATCCACGAAACGCAAGTTTATCCCACCTCAAGATCAAAGCTGAAACAAACATCTCACCACTACTGCCAACATCAAGTCAGTATCCATCCTACTGGGAATCAAAACTCTCGATTTGGAATATAACGGGAAGAGAATAGATGACACATCTCGAATAGCCCTGTACGATTGGGAGATGTAACATTAAGCGTGACAATAAGGTGAGTATTTCATTGAGCTAGTCGATCTTAGTATCGTTTCTTTTCCGTATTTCTAATAAAAACTATTACTCAAAAAGTTTCTTCTTATTCCGCCAAGAACCACCGGTAGTTTGAGGAACTTCTGAGGATTGTTTAAGATAATTGAATTCAGTGTAACCAGGAAGGTCAACTACAACCTGGAACTGGATGGAGCTGACGAAGCCTCGCCACGGATGACCGTTCAATATCTTGCACAAGGCTTTCCTGTAGCCGGGAAGAGAATCATAATCCGCTCGTGCGATTGCTCTTGTGGATAGTTGACAACGGAGCCAGACGTGGATTTAACAAGGACAATAGATTTACTTGTCTATGGCCAACATTATCCACTCGTTAAGATT